CACACACACACACACACACACTACACATAAAGAAACATGACACAAGCCCTGAGTAAGTGGACTTATTGTAATTGAAGCTTCCCTGTTTTAAGTACTAAAACATTACTAACTCTAAGTAAACCATGAAAACTAAAGATATTTATTTTATTCCTTAGAATGGTGATTGTCTAAGAACAGTCACCAAAGTACCATCAACAAAACCTAAGAACCTGAATGAAATGCAAATTCTTCAAAAGCCATTGAAACAGAAATTCAGAGAGAAGAGCACAAAATCCATTGTTTAAACAGGCTTCTGGCACAGGGTGGCACATCTTCAATTCCAGCACCCAGGAGACTGAGGCAGGAAGTTCATAAGTCTGAGCCCAGCCTAGTCTACAAAGTGAGAGCTCTGTCTTAAAAAAAAATGAATAATAAAAAGATTCCTTTACCTCCATGTGATTCTGTCATCACACACTGACGTCTGAAAGAAGGAAGGGGCAAGGGAGGAAACAGGAAGAAAGGGAGGGAGGCAGAGCGAAGGAAGGTGAGAAAAAGGAAAGAATGAAGGAGGAAGGGAAGACACAAAACTAAAGGCTAAAACACAATTCTAAGAAATGTTGAATTAATCTAATAGAAGGAAGAAAGGATAAAGAAAAAAGGAACAGAAAACAACTAAAACATAAGATCTGAAACCAGTCACACTAATAACTACATTAAATGTTAGTGGATTAAAAAGCCTCATTAAAACTCAGAAATTTTAAATGAATTAATAAGATATGATCCAATATATGCTGTCTGCAAAAAATTAATTTTAAGTATAAAGATACAGGTAGGTTAAAAGCAAGTGGATGGGGGGAGGGGGGTCTGGAAAGATTGCTCAGCAGTTAAGAGCACTGGCTGCTCTGCAGAAGACCTAGGTTTGAATCCCAGCACCACATGGCGGCTAATAACCATCCATAACTCCAGTTCCAGGGGATCCGACACCATCTTCTGTCCTCCGTGTGCATTGAATGACATGAGTGCACTTACATACATGTAGGCAATACAGTCATACACATAATATAAAAATAAATAAAAACAACTTTTTAATAAGTAAGTGGATGCGAAAAGGGCAGATATTCGGTAAACAAAAAAAGCATGAATAGTTATATTAATCTCAGATAAAGTGAAACTAATAACAAAAGAATATTATTAGACATAAAAGTTCAAAGAGACACTGGAGAATAGTTTACACAATGAATATTAATAAAAGAGCAAGTGTGTGGCTATGTATGACAGCATCGTTCTTTCGGAATAAAGGTATGTTCATCTTACCCAACAAGAATGTGGGGGAAAAATGAGACAGAAAAGAAGGCAGGTGATGTGGCACATGCCACAACAAATGAATTTACAGTGCATATATCAAGTATGGATTTTATCTTACAGACAAGAAATTTTCAAACTTTTTGTTCTCATAGACTATGTCTTTTAAGACTAAAGAATTTTAACTTACATTGTTCACATCCACCGGTACTTACTATAAATTACAACATAGATCTAAAAATATTTGTTAATTTAAATCTAATGAATCTTTTGCATGTTAACAAAAAATAACATTTTTTGAGGAAAAATGAGTATTAACAATTACTGATAATGCATTGCTAAGCTTTCAATTTCTTACAGATGCTGCTTCGGTTAAAGCACATTGAGTTGGAAAATGACAGAGTATTTTAGCAGTGTTTCAAGATAAATGTGCATATTCTACCTGGAAAGGGTAGTTTCTTAAGAGTTCATTGCAATGTATATTCTAGAATCCTTTGACTTTTTTCATTACATTAAAATCCATTAGTCTTGCATACACTTTTGCCCATTCATGATTTGCACCACACCTTCAGGCATCAGTTCACTGAATTATGGGGATCTTCCAAATGTTGACACATTTCATTATACCAGTTTAGCAAATTGATGATATTACTAGCAATTTCATCAGAACAGTATGTGTTAGGAAGTTGAAAAGCTAAAGATGGTGAATATAGTTTTCTCAGATTTTAATTTTTATTTACAATTTATCTTCACTTAGATTTTATCTTTGGTAGTAACTATTGCCAGTTGTTTTCTTTAGAATGATATGCTTACTTAGTTTTAAATAAAACTCCTGCCAGATATTCAAGTTTGAAAGTCACATATACCTTTCAACCCTCATGAAGGAAACTTCTTTTTTGCATCAGATGGAGACTATTACAGAATTTTATGGTCAAATGCAGAGAATAAGTGTCTGTGAGAGGCTTAACCATAATGACACATCTTCAATGAAATCTCTACACATAGGATGAATATATCTCTCAACTCTCAACACAGAAGTTTCCTTATGCAGCAGATGGTCATCAACATAGAAACCCACAATTAGCCAAGGTGCAGAGAAGAGGGTGCAGAGTGCTTAACCCTGATTAGGATACTTATTTCAAACCTCTGTCTCCCAAGGCTCAGGGATCATTGTGGAAGAGGGTGTAGAAAGATTATAAGAGCCAGAGGGGGTGGATGACCACAAGAAAACAGAATTTCCAGTTGGTGAATTACTCATATGACATCACAGCAATGGTAATAGCATGAACAAGCCCTCTGAAAGTTCAAACCAGACAAAATCCAGCATAGACACGGGGAAGTGGGTAAGAAACCCCAACCCCACCTAAGAAACTTCTGGCAATTGATGGCTTCTGGGAGGGGAAAATATAGTGTAACAGAGATGGGACTCTGGTAGGCCCAGCAGATGGGTCCACACTGAAGGACATTTGAAGATATAAATCAGACTCTATAGGAGATATATATAATGAGAGCCCATATATTTTACATATATATATATATACACACATATATATGTGAGTACATTACATTGGGTGGTGGTGGGCAGTGGGGGGGGGCAGGTACAGAGAGGGGAGATATAAATACCATCAAACTATATTGTATGAAAATCACAATAACTCAATTTAAAGAAAAAGGTATTTCATGACCTGTCCCCAAAGGATCTAGGTGAGTGCACAGTTTTAACAACACTATAGTGTGTGTGTGTGTGTGTGTGTGTATGTGTGTGTGTGTGTGTGTG